CTCCCATTTGGTCTTGATGGCTGACGTGAAGATGTCCTATCTAGTTTCATCCTTCAGTTTCTGTTCTGGGTGTTGAACTTGAACTGTGTTCCATCACCAACTTCCCTGAAGGCTTTCAACTTGATTTGGAAGGTTCCTTGCACTAGACAGTGACTGGTCTAAACCTACAACTGCTCCCCTTCTTAATCTTGTGTCAAGTAGGCTGCGTCTCCACTTTCTTGAGATTTAGATGAAATCAATCTGACTTTTAGTGTACTGTGTCCCTCTGGTGAAATCCAAACCATGTCGCTTTGTTGATATCCTTGTGTTTGAACACAGTGCCCCCAATCACCAAATCGTTGAATGAGCAGAATTCTGCAAACAATTCTCCATTCTTGTTCATCACCTCACCAAGTGCTTCTCGACCCATGGTTAGTTCTCTTCCTGTGTTGTCCACTCCCAGTTTGGCATTCATGTCACCCCACCCATTAGAATTTTGATGTCGACAACTGATGTCTTGTCCATTGTTGGTTGCAGTTGTCAGTATAGTTCCTTCTTCTTCTCTTCATCTGCATTATTTGTAGGTGTGTAAAGTAGCATTGAATGATTGTGACGTTTCTTCCTTTTGACTTGAACCTTGCTGTCATGATGCTGGAGGAGACTGATTCCCACTGTATGAGAGCCTTCGATGCTCTTCAAGGGGACGCCGTGATAGACTCTCCAAAACTCAGTGTGCTCATGGTTATCGTCTGGGTAACAGTATCGGAGTAGATTATTGACTCTCCAGTTGACAGTTTGGAGAGTTGACTTCCATTCCCTCTGCTTTCGCAGATTCCTAGCACTTCGGTGCTATACCTTCTCATCTCCTTCGCAATCTGGGTAGCCTTCCTAGGTTCAAACATCGTGCGGACATTCTATGTCCCCATTCTTACTTTCACCTTTATCGAGAGAGGAAACGTCGGCCGACTGGCTACTGGAAGGCTTTCACCAACCGGCATCATTTCGTCTTTCAGATTCCAGCGAAGAATAAGTTTGTTTTGATGTTTGATATTTTCTTTGTGATTTGAAGTTTCTTTAGAGGTTGGATTTGTTTTACGGGTAGGTTTGCTAGCCCAATGCACAACCTTCCCTCTTTACCCGGGCTTAAGACCGGCTAGTAACTAGTGAACTAGTTAACCAGGTGAGGTTCTACAATATAAGCAAAATATTAGGCCACGTCATCCTAGAGAGACTTAAGGATTCACTGGATTCAAAACTACTACCAAAACAGGCTAGATTCAGGAAGTACAAATCATGTGCGGACCAAATTGCAACGCTACGCATCATCATAGAGCAGAGCATAGAATAACAGTCAACTCTTTACCTCAACTTCATCGACTTTGAAAAGGCCTTCAACAGCATCGACCAAGAAGTAATTTGGCAGTTTCTTCAACATTACGGTTTTAGTGTCACAAACCTTCATCAATCTCATTCAACAACTATATGAAGAGGCCGCATGTCGAGTGATTCACAATGGAAAGATCAGTGACGCCTTTGAAGTGAAGACAGGAGTAAGACGAGGCTGCCACCTACTGTCGCCCATGATCTTCCTGATTGTTGTGGACTGGATCGTGCAACAAATAGTGAGGAGTGAGAAGAGGGGGATACTCTGGACCGATGAGTAGATCCCAGAAGATTTGGATTTCGCCGATAACTGTCGCACAAACTCGAAGATCCACAGGCAAGAACTAACAAATTGACAGAAGAGGCAGCGAAGACGGGACTTCAAGTGAATGTAGAGAAGACGGAGGTGATGAAGATACCCAACGAACAACAGCATGAACAACAAGCACCAATCACCATCAACGGGAGAAACTTAAAGGAGGTAGTCTCTTTCACCTACCTAGGCAGCATCGTTTCAAACACAGGCAGCACAGGCACAGATGAGGACGTCAAAGGCAGGATCGGAAAGACAACAAGGCAGGCCTTTATTAACCTGAAACCAGTGTGGAGATCTACTGCACTGCACTGCGCTCAGCATAAAAAACAAGATCCAGATTTTCAACATTAATTCACTCAAGTCAGTGCTTCTATGTGATGATGGTTGACAGACTTGGCGGGTTACGAATAGCATTTCCAACAAACTGCAGACATTCATCAACAACCGTCTGCGCTCGTTACTGAAGATCAGATTGCCAGAAAGAATAATTTACAAGGAACTCTGACAACGAACCAACCAAGAAGCTATCGCCCAACAGATATGCAGAAGAAGAAAGTGGGGATGGATTGGGCATGCACTGGGAAGACCATTTGGGGACGTCACGTGCCAGGTCAGGCCCTCGAGTGGAACACGGATTGGAAACGATGAGTTGGGCGTCCGAAGGTGACATGGAGGAGATGGTGTGAGGATGAAATGAAAGGTTATGGGCAGTCGTGCAGCCAGGTTAAAAAGACTGGAGAGATGAGAGTGGAATGGAGACGTGCTACCGAAGCCTTATTTTCCACTGGGAAACCAAGGGACAAATAGTGATGTAATATTGTAGTAGTTGACAGGGGCATGATTCTGCTCTTTTACTGAGAAATACTTACGTCTCTTTTCTTTGAATGTTTGACAACAAATATCATGTTTTTGTCGATATATTTCTTTGGGAGGAAATTCCGCACATGTTTAACTCCAGTATTTTTGTTCATATATATCATTCCAGATAAAAGCCTATAAATTATTTGAAACACCCATTGCAAACTCTTTTATTTTCCCACTGATATGTTTGTGGTATAAAACTTCAGAATATTGGGAAGGAAATTTATCATAAGAAGTATTCTTTATTTAAATGTGTCATTAGGAGGTTTGTGCATTGTGGAATGGTATCATCACGGGCAATAATTTCGCTTGAAATATTACCAAAAATGAAAACTTATCACTGTGTATAAACTTCGCATTAAAAATTTACTTATAATACATCCTTCTCTTTTATTTACCTGTGATTACTGAAGGTGAAATGAAAATTTGGAAAGCAACCGGATTCGAACCACCGACCATCTGGTTTCCGGCCCGATGCTCTACTAACTGGAGTTCGACTGCTGACCAGATTTTTCTTTCACTTCAATCACAAGCATGATTTTGCCCGACTAGTCTGCCAAACCACGACTATATCAGATAGTCAGAATGATTGATCGGTATGATGCTACTTCTCTCTAATTCAGTTAGATTCGGATTTGGATGAGAAATCTTGAACAGGCAGCCAGTGTGAATACGATGAAGCAGTAGCAAAGTACCACCAATTCACATAGTAGTCGGGTTAAACTCGTGATGGTTGAAGTGAAGTAAGAATCTGGTCAGTGGTCAGACCTCGTAGCTCAGTTGGTACAGCATCGGGCCGGAAACCCGGTTGTCGCTAGCTTGAATTTGGCAGCGGTCCAAATTTTCATTTCACCCTCAATCATCACCCTTTATATATACATATTGCAGAACTTGCTGTTGAGTTTATGGAATGTTCTTCTTTGTTAAACTATGCATTTATTTAGAAATTTTTGCTTTCATTTTCTCTTAATTGTACTCCTGTATTAACACTTTTTCACATCTACCACTGGTTACCATAAGACGTGACAATTAGGATGAAGTTTAACAGTTGACAATAACTAGCTTCATTCCGTTTCTGTTTAGCCTCTTTGGATCTTGCTCCTTTTGTATTGGTCCTGCTGATATTTCTTTCAATGTATCTTCCATTTTTTTTACTCCAAGGGCATTATGCAACAGCTCTACTCTCTCTATTTGTCGTCTCCCGTTGAAATAATCAATTTTTAGATTTTAGAGCTTTGAATATTTCTCTGCTCTGTTGAGTAGAAGTGAAAGCTAATAGTCAGTCATTGTATCAGTTAGTTTTGGTGTAAGTGTGGACTTATCATTGACTGTGCGATAGCACACACGCTATTTAAGTCACATTCAGTCAGTTGGCGATTAGTGTCCGTAAGCACGGTAAATGCTTTGCATCATTGAAGTGCGAAGTACTTTTGCAAGATTGGCAGGAGCCTGTGTCTGCGCCGGCCCTGTTGGTGCGCCGTTAGAAGTATTCGAAAAGTACATGTATCTGGGTAGTTGTGCGAGTGCTGGTGGAGATGTGTGATGAAATTCACAACTGCATATCGAACACCAGAGTGGCATACATCAATCTCGGCCACCTTTAGTGTTGTCGTGACATTAGTCTGACCATGAAGGGTAGAATTCACAAAAGCTTCGGTGCGAGGATTTCTGCTCTACGCCTTTCTGCGCTAAGTATGTGCAGTGGCTCTGTGTTTTCGATCATTGTTGTTTTCGTAGGATTGCTCGCATCCGGTGGCAGCACCATGTAAGTAATTCTGAGGTATGACAGCGTTTGTCTGGGTATGATGGGGATCGTCATTCAATGAGTGAAGTCATCTGAAAACGCCGGATGGAATGACTTGAACATGTTACACATGTCGTCTCAACGTCTCCCATACCGTTCATTTTTCACTAGATCTTGGACTAGATGTAAGAAGCGGAGGAGTGGTCAGTGTATGGCTTAGCGTCGTGGGTTGAAGAATAGTTGTATCGGGTTAAAATCTGTTAGTGGGGTCCAAGAGATCACACAACTCGGTGACTTGAGACGTTATCGGATATGCCTCAGAATCAAAACCAATGGCAGTCATACTATAGCTACATTCTATCTTCTGCTGCTGCTGCAAAGTAATGGATAATTCGCCTTGAATTTAACTTACTGAACTCTCTTTCTAAACATTCTATTCTTATCGTTTTTCTTTTTATCCTCTTCTCATTGGCTTGCATCTTCAAAACAGTGTTCTGTTATATTGTGTGGTGCATTTCTTAGTGCTCTTGTTGTACCATGTTTACGTTCTGATAAGAGAAGACTGATCTGTATGCCACTAACTATCACTATTTTATAATGTGGTAAGGATACTACGTAACCATCTAAGCCACTGTAAGTTTGTTAATCACTGAGTGAACCAGTTTCATCATTCAAAATAATCCACTGTAGCTGTTATATTCTTGCTGTTATCTTAAGGTTTGTTGGTATTGGCGGTATCTAGCTGAATCAAATGAATTATGGGCAACAAAATGTATCAAACATGGATGGGATTTAATTGCATCACAAAGTCATTGGGAACCAGGAATATGGAAAAAGCATTATATTCAAAATATTCGTTATCTTCAGTTGCATAGTATTTCAAAAGTGAGCAATGATTTTTTTTATTATTTCATCATTAGAACTAATTTATATTTTTGTGAGAGGAATTTTTATCAAAATTTATAAATTACTAAAAACAGTTGCATCAGATTAACCATTCATTGTTGTTGATGCCTCAATGCACTGTCAAGAAATATAACAATTCCCCTTTGAAAATCATAATCGCTTTGTTTCAAACAACATGTGTGATACAGTACATTAACTTCATGTACAATACTTTTCAATGAAATAATTACTGCATAGGAATAGTCTTTATAATAACAACAATAATAAAGGCAATATATTTGAAATAACCAGATGGTGTTACATTACTGTCTTGCCTGGATTAGGAAATGAATAAAACATTGAGGGTAATTTTTGTGATGGTAGATCATTCAACACGTACAGTATTCTGCAATTCAATACTAACTTCCTAGAAATAGTAATGTTCTGTTCATATATAAGTCTATTTCCATCAGATGTAACGTTTTTTCTTTGTTTTATTCATAACTGGAAGAATGGTATTTTGAAAACATAACTTGATAGTTTTGTAGATTTAACTTATATCAAAATAGTTCTCATCGAAATCTGATACTAACTGAACCGTCAATGCATATCAGACAGTGCTGGATACCGATGTTATTTTAAATACTTTTTCTTGATATTTCTACTCACTGTCATGGATTTCACGGTTTAAATATGCAACATTTTAGTTTCATTTTGAGCAGTGAACTGGTTTTAATTATCTATACTGACCAACTTTGGTCACTATGTGATATTATATAATCACCATCTCATATTATCTGTCAGTCACTGTCTGTGATTTACACGGTAATCACGTGAAGGAGACCAGATACTTAAATCATATCACCAACTGAGTGAAATTAGAAGTCGCCAATTTTCGGGTTTCACCATAATCTTTCCATTTTATGGTATCCAGTAGTCGGTGTTAACATAAGTGTAAGACTTTAGTACTATGATGGAATGCAATTCTATTTTATTTGATTGATTTGGTGTATCACCCAATGGGACAGTATTATTTAGTGCGCACTGCTGAGGAGTCCCATACTAGGACGAAACAGCTGTCCAGTGCTCCCAGGTTTCATTTGTTCCTTCGACTGATGTCAGTCTTCGATGAATAACAACTTGAAATATTTCCAGATCTCCACAACTCCCTCAAAAATTTCAGACATAATTTATTGTCCATAGTCATATCAAGATAGCTCCACAACTTTGAGACTTGGTCTATATTACTCTTATTTTCTCGCCTTCTTTGTGATATAGGTAGTAGGATTTTCTAGATATCACGAACATTCCTGTTGATCTGATACACAAAGAACCGGTTATCAATCTTTCCCTCCACCAGAATAAATTGATTTTAAGGACTGTCATTCTGTGCCATTCTGTGTGGTTGTATGGAATTAGATGCATAGGTATGGGTGAACGTTTTCTAAATTATTTCAAGTTGTTATTCATTGTAGGCTGACATCAGTTGGAGGAACAAAGGAAACCTGGGAGCACTGGACAGCTGTTTCGTCCTAGTATGGGACCCCCCAGCAGTGCGCACCCACGACCCCACCAGCAGGGGTCGAACCCGCGACCTTCAGGTTCCGCGGCCAGCGCGTTACCATTGAGCCACTGGGTCAGGATCCAATGCTTCATATTTCCAACTTCTGTTAGCTCACGATATATAGCGCAACCGCCACCCAATGTCATCGCTGAGTATCTGTCCTCATGGCCATCAGGCTTTGACTCCACCGGTCACGACTTGTCATTGGAACTTCGGGAATACTTCTCGAAACTAGTCACCAATTAGCACCAGTTCAATTAAATTTTGAGGGAGTTGTGGAGATTTGGAATTATTTCAAGTTGTTATTCATTGTAGGCTGACATCAGTTGGAAATTCTTGCTGGAATCTACCAATTTTGATTCAGCTATGTCCTTGTGTTGTTATTCTATTTGACCGTGGTCGACTACTTTGACCTACGTATTTGACCTCTCAATCGTTGCAAGGGATTTGGTAAACTAAATTTTTCTGACTAATTGGATAAATAGGATCTTTCAGTCTACAAAGCTTATTTGTAGACGTAAATGCTATTTTTAGTTCTTGCCTCCTTCAGAATCTTGCTTAATGTCTCTGAGCTGCTTTCTTTGCACGGTGATACCACGGAGGTTTAGAATTTCTTTTTTTCAGTATTGCCATTATTATTATTATTATTAACACCTATCTTACTAATATAGGTCATATTTTTCTTACGATTACTAGGAAACTAATTAATTAATTTGGAGGGGGATTATTGATGAGTAAGGTGTCTTTAATATGTTTGATTCCTCTTTTTAGGTCTTCTGTCCTGCTAGTAAGTTTTTTGGTCCTGTTACTTAGAAATTTTACTAAATCAGCTTCAACTAACAGAGTGAGATGATTTGAAGTCTAAGTAACTATTCGAGAGTGAAGGTTTTCTGTAAAAACTATTGTTGAAGCCTCTATGGTGTTTTCATTTTATTCTTCAATCCAGGATCACCTCATCATTTTCTGATTCACAGATGAATTGGGTTGCACCGACTTCTTTGAGAATCATTCATCCTGAATAACTATACTTAATTTCTGCCTAATAAGTATAAACACACCCGATACTTTGTTCATAAATAAATGGTTTGAAATACAACTCAGTGACAAACGGCATTGTTAAAACTATGCAAATAGGTAAAATATGGGTGATTTTAAAGGATACCATAGCAACTTTTCAGATAACCAATTACGTTTCTCTGTCAAATGAAAAACTACTTCTCAGGCTGCATATCTGAACCTGGTTGGTTATTTTGGCATTTGCTAGGGTAGCCTTTAAAGTCACTCTAAAATATTCATACAGGGTACAGAAAATTTTCATATTTCTGCAAACAACCCTAAAACCTAGAGTAAAGACAATAACACCTGAAAATAACTTTTAGCATCACCTGAAACTATGTATGTCCTCCGATTTCAACACTGTAAACGTATCCTATACATATCGAAACCATGTTTTTGTAGCAGAACTTAATGCTTCATCAATCATGCTCCTCTCTAGCACGATATTGACTGAAGTGAGTGATAGACGAACAGCAGAACAAAATGATAATTAGTACCATATTGATCCAGTTTGCTACACTTCGCATTCACAATGAAGTTGAATCAGCAATAAGATGAATTTAAGAGTCAGCTTTGCTGTAAATGACAGCAAATTATGATAAAAAGTTAAGTGAATCCATATGGTACAATTAGTAATTGTGGTTGAAATGAATAGTTAGTGACTTTATCAGTTGGTGTTATTTTTTAGTCTGATCACTGTAATACTTTTCTTAGGCTGCTCCTAGTCAAATATTGAGATAGGTATTTTCTCAGCTAAGAACAGACATATCTAATCAACTACAGTCGACCCAGTATAACAACGGGAGATTACAAGTGTTAAACAACGACTGATACTCATTGTAAAGGAGGTGGGTCTTATGTGTTTGAAATGGTGGGTACTGGATTGAAGTCTCAGTGGGGATGACACTACTCACAGGAGTGCAGGTATATCCAGCCGACGAGTTCTAAACGGAATCACATGTGCGTCCTAGATTCCACTGATTGTTACCAAGCAGATTACAATGGATCAAGTTTCATAGTTTCAAGACATTATGACAAGACTCATGATGATAATCAAAATGATTCATTATGTTCATGCTGGAAGCTATTTTCAAGTTGTTTAGTATTTAATTGGGAGATTTATGGTTTGTTTTTGCAGTCTAGTTGTTATTACAAGTTAACCTCAGTTAGAAAAGCATTTAAAACTGAGGAGTACTAGATAGCTATTTGGTTCTAGTTCAGAATTCTTCAACAGCGTTCAATAAATTTAGGATCAGTTTTAGAACCTTCAGTTTCTTTAGTAAGTATGTTATTCGATCAGTCATGAATTTGTAGTTTATCTTAGTGAGATGAATATTAAATCAGTTCACTAGTAAGTAATGAATCATTATCTTATTGAGATATTTATTGAAAATTGGTTACTTTCTATCAGGAATTCAAAGGTATAAGTGGCTATATTCCAAACTAGTGGCTGAATATTAATCATGTTGGCTGCGACAAATCATAGTGGAGACATCGTTCATCCATTTGTTGAATAATCTTATGAAACAGTTCCAGACTGCGTATAAATAGTTATACAATGTTTCAACCCATGATGTTAACTACCTTATAACTAACTTATCTTTTTATCCTATGATATATTAGGATTCATTTTGTTATTCTCCTTAATGAATTAGCTTTCATGAATATTTTTAATCTCCGAAATCTATATATATCTAGTCATCCAGTAAAGGTGATATAGTGGAAAAATGTTCAGAAAAACTGATATCCAAACAATCTGAATTAGTTAACTTGTTATATAATCACATAGATGGCTGTGTTAATGACAAAAATACTCCAGAAGATGGAAATATTGATAATCAAAAAAAAAATGAAAGTTTTAGTAGATATGAAAAGTTCAACTTGAAAAAGAAACAAATCAGTTTTGATCCTTTATCAGACAAGGATAGAATAGAATATCTAAATCGAGAAATAACAATGAATGGTAAAAATAATATGGAACCATGGCGAGTACCAAGTCGTAAACCAACTGAAACGCATCGTTTGAATTATTTTGATAATGATGTAGGAGTGATCAAAGTTTCTGGAAATGAAAGTAGAAATAAGTAAGTCCAATGCAGATTGATCTGCTACTTTTTTATTAGTCTTTTTACTTTGATGACTAAGAGTGAAATAGACTTGGTATAGTTACATGTGAATTACTTATATGGCGCTGCTGTTATTCAGCATGTAAGCTCTGTGTAGTGTAACTAACATTATTGACAATTATCACGTTCAAACTATGTATGAAATAAGTAATTTTGAGCATAATTTTAATCAATCTCTTTATTTATAGTAATATTTTTAATCTAGAATGTCATATTAAGCTTACATAGGGACCTACTGGATATCGGTAGTGCTTATATGGTGTTTCTATAGTTGATCTAGGGCACACGACTTATAAACAAGTCTTATTTACATCTAAAGTGTCATGTATGGCTTTGACAATGATAGGCTTTCTGACTGAACTCTCCGAGATGTTTACAATTACCATTTAGAGATAGTAAAAGAAGGAAGTGATGTTTACCCTTCTGGCTTTGTTGATTCAAATTACACTTTAAAATCTTTGTTAATATATCCACCTATCTATCTTAAACTGAAAATAAACATATCTGTTCAAATTCCATTGTACTAACTTTCCATTAAGTATTTCTGCATTAAACAGATTTTAAAGGAAGCTTATCAGTCAAACACAATTGACTTATTCAACCATATAGGGGTAACCTTAAGTAATAAAGGGTTCAAGTTTGAATAGGAACATCATAACTTACTGGGACGCTCAGATACACCCAATTGACGAGTTTCAAACTGGAAGGAACGCATAATATTGGAAGCTGAGTTAGAAGTTTTTATAATTCAAAACTTGATTAATGCTATCTTAGGGTTGTATATATTTTACTGTGCTCTTAAGTATTTTGTTGAATCACTTGTAAAATGTGAGACAACCACTTCCCTACTGTAAGTGTATATGGATTAAAACTCTGTGCTTAATGCTGAAGATGGTTCTCATAGTTATATCTAAGGTATTATCATTTGATATTCTTGTACATCAATGAAACATAAGGAACTCTGAGGGAACAACTCTCATTTGCTCTGGACAAAAAAGTGAAGAAGAGTGCGCGGAAAGACAAAAGACACTTCTACGAAACACTGGCAAGTGAAGCAGAACAGATAGGCTGCAGGTAGGAGAGACAGAGACCTGACAACATTGTATCAAATAACCAGGTTGCCATCTGGTAAGAGATCAACGCAGACGAAACCAATAAAAGATGATGACGGAAATTTAATTACGAAAGAAGAGAAACAAAGGAAACAATGGACCGACCACTTCAAGAAGCTCTTGAATCGACCACCACCTGCACTTCGTCCAGAAATACCACCTACAGCCGCTGAACTACAAGTGAACATAAATCCTCCAACAAAAATGAAAGTCCTGAGTGCCATAAAGCTACTGAAATGTGGGAAAGCAGCAGGACCAGATGGGATCCCACCAGAAGCATCGAGAACAGACTCAGAGACAACAGCGGACATGCTCACACCACACCACTATTGCAGAAGGTGTGGGAGGAAGGGAAGGTACCTGACGACTGGAAGAAGGGTTACCTTGTCAAACTCCCGAAGAAGGGAGACCTCAGTGTTTGCAAGGACTGGTGTGGAATCACTCTCCTCTCCACCCAAAGCAAGCAAAATATTAAGCCGCATCATCCTGGAGAGGCTAAAGGATGAACTGGATTCAAAACTACGACCGGAACAGGCAGGCTGAATTCAGGAAGTACAAATCATGTGCAGACCAAATTGCAACGCTTCGCATCATCATAGAACAGAGTATAGAATGGCAGTCAACTCTCACTCTACCTCAACTTTATCGACTTTGAGAAGGCCTTTGACAGCGTCGACCGAGAGGTAATTTGGAAACTGCTTCAATACTACGGAATACCACAAACCGTTATCAGCCTCATTCAACAACTATATGAAGATGCCACATGCCAAGTAATTCACAATAGGAAGCTCAGTTATGCTTTTGAAATGAAGACAGGAGTGAAACAAGGTTGCCTACTATCCCCCATGATATTCCTGACTGTGGTCAACTGGACTGGGTCATGCAGCAAACAGTGGGGAGCTGTGAGGAGAGGGGGATACGCTGGCTGGACTGCTGAAAATAACCTAGAAGACTTGGAATTCGCCAGTGATGACTTGTGCTTGATGTCACACAAACATGAAGATCTACAGGCGAAAACTAACAAGTTGACAGAAGAGGTAGTGCAGGGCAGCTAAGACGGGACTTCAAGTGAATATAGAGAAGACAGAGGTGATGAAGATACCGCACCAACAACTCCAACAACAACAACAAACTCCAGTCACCATCAACGGGAGAAACTTAAAAAAAGTTACCTCCTTCACCTATCTAGGAAGCACTGTTTCAACTACAGGCGACACAGGCACAGATGAGGATGTCAAAGTCAGAATCGGAAAAGCAAGACAGGCCTTCTTGAATCAACCTGAAACCAATGTGGAGATCTTCTGCACTCAGCATGTGGAACAAGATCCTGATTTTCAACACCAACCTAGTCAAGTCAGTGCTTCTATATGGTTGAGAGACTTGGCGCGTCACGAAAGGCATTTCCAATAAACTACAGACATTCATCAACAACTGCTTACGCTGGCTCGATACTGAAGATCAGATGGCCAGAATAACAAGAAAAAGCAACAAGGAGCTCTGGGAACGAACCAACCAAGAACCTATCACTCAACAAATATGCATTGGAAGGAAGTGGAGATACATTGGGCATACACTGAGAAGGCCGACTGGGGACATCAGGCGTCAGGCCAGTTGCTCGAGTGGAATCCCCGTGGGGAGCGACGAGTTGTGTGTCCGAGGTGAGGGTGACATGGAGGAGATCGTGTGAAGAAGAAATGAGAGGTTGTGGGCTGTCGTGGAGCCAGGTTCAAAAGATTTCAGAGAACAGAGTTCACTGGAGAAGTGCTACTGAAGCCCTATGTTCCATTAGGAACCCAAGGGACTAATAATAATAATAATAATAATAATAATAATGATAATAATATAATACATCTTATATTGTTATTCTCAAGTGTGAAAAAAGCAGGATTTAATGAATTCATAAATTTCAGTAGTACTCGTCAGCTGGATACACTACACACGATTATATATACCGTTAAGCAATGAAAAAGATCATGCATACATACATATACAACGTAGACTGAGACAAATTTAGGTGTAGCAACATAAAAGTGAATAGATTTTACGGGTCAAATGGTAATCCAGAGGATGGAAATGAATATTCAAGATTGTTGACATTGGGGTGAGAACTGAATCGATTGAGCGTCGATCACGTCATTGAAAACAAGATAGTTAATAGTACTTATGCAGACAATAAGAAAACAAGATGTATATTGAGATGAATAATAATGATAACATTGGCAATAGGAATAAGGTTACTTAGACGGAGTAAATCAGGGAAGGAAAACAAATATGAGATGAGTGATAATTAATGCTGAAGAGTAAAATAAGAAAGATTAAATATGATTGGACAGTGTTGTAATTATTGCCATGGCAGATTCAGGCTGACTACCATTTCTTTCTGAATGCAAAGGTTTGGTTTGACAATTCGAATCGTGCAGGCTTCTACATATCCAAACAACTTCTTATTTTGCTGTCTACTGATAACTTCAAGGGACTTATAGGTATCAACATCATGTCCATAGTCCATTAGGTGCTTCGTTATCGAGTTCATCGGGGTCTTCTTTTCGGTATGTTTCAACCGTTTAGGTATGTGCTCAACCATTCGGGTGGACAGACGCCTCTCCGTACGACCAATGTATTTGCTTCCTCAGGTACATTCGAATTAATATATGCATTTAGATGTATCGAGGATCGGAGTACTGTCTTTCCCTGATTGCTGCAATACCCTTTTGGTGGTGCTAAGAACAACCAGTTTAGCTGCGTAGTACGTCCTTCTGATAGACTTCTCCAGTCTTCGTCTAACTACCTCTAGCACGTCGTCACCTTTGAATGGCAAGATGACATAGGCTGGTTCCTTCTGCACTGTTGGGGCCGTTGTTCTGCTACCTACCCACTTCGCGTACTTGTTGAAAAAGCTTTCTGGGTACCCATTCTTCACCTTATTTCGTAGTTTAGTGTGCTGTCGGAACAAATTTTCCTGGCTCTGTTACACAGCGTTCTAACTACACTCACTTTGTATTGGATCGGAACAAAGCTCCTAAAATGAAGGTATTGTCCTGTCTATGAAGGTTTCCTATAGATGGACCTTTCTATAGATCCATCGATTTTTTTCACTAATGAGACATCTAAGAAACTAATCATATTATTTTCCTCGTGCTCAATCGTAGAAGTCAGGTTTGGGTGACATGAATTGAAGCTCTTCAGTAGTGCTTCTGCCTCCGCTTTGCTACTGCATACAATGAATATATCGTCCATATACCGCTGGTACAGTTCCGTCTGACCAATGAGGCGCTTCAAGCTACTATTTTCCAGACTGGATAGAAACAAATCAGCGAAAAGTGGACCCAGAGGGCTTCCCATTGCGACTCCATAGGTTTGGCGGAATAACTATCCGTTGAACTGGAACTGGATGTTCTTGGTGCATAGATTTAGAAGCTTTCTCAACTCACTTGTTGACCTTTGTTGGAGGTGAAAATCCAGTCTTTACTCAACTCGATTTTATAGGCGATGATATTAAAGAAACAATAAACAGAAGACTGTAGAACTTACTGGTCAGCACGTATATCTCAGCTAGATTTATCTCAACATTTTGAAAAGCTTTCTAATTGATGCAGTGAAAAATTGTTAGGCTTCCTTCTTATATGAAATCCAGTTAGGTTTATTAAATTCCCATGTATCCACTAAAGCAAATTTATCGAAAGAATAAAAAGAACGGCTTACTTTAGATTTCCTCAACGTGTTCCAACAAGCCTTCAACTGAGGAAATTCAGTGGTTTCATAAGCATGATTGTTAGACACCTAAATGCCTTAGAATCTATAAAATAGATAATAAGCAGAACGATCTCAATCCTCTCCGTTTCACCC